GACCCCAGGGCTGGGCTGGTGGAGGGGTGCGCGTGCCAGTGACGGGGTGCTGCCTGGAGAAGCAAAGGGGCACAGAAGGTGCTATCACGAGCCTGGCCCCCTTGTCGTGTCACTGGCTGTGTCACCAACCCTTGGGGCACTGCTGTGCTAGTCAGGGCTCATCTGCCCTGCTCCTGCAGCCGCTGCATCCCCAGGATCTGGCACAGGAGCCTCTGCACATCCTCGTCCATGTGGCCCTGAGGTGGAGGGGACATTGGTGGGGACATCAGAGGGGACATCAGGGACTCTCTGTGCATGGCCCGAGCACTCCTGGGTCCCTGCATCCAGCCCCTTGCTGCCTCCCACATGCATGCGGGCACCAGTGTGTGGCTGCCTGGTGCCCCAGTCCCCCAGACTGGTGTCCCCAGTTCCTCTCCAGCCACGTCCCCACCTCACCTGCACTGCATAGAGCAGGTGGCTCCGGTACAGAGTCACCACCTTGCTGTGCCGCATTTCTGTCTCCTGCAAGAGAGCGAGCAGGTTTGAGCACGGGGCTGGCGGCTTGCGGAAGCCCAGAACCCCCCAGGTGATGGCCACAAGCCCCCCTGTACCCACCGCCAGCTTCTCCTCCAGTGCACGGATCTTGGCCTGGAGCGTGGCAGTGTCGGGGGGTGACAGTGGTGGTGCCCGGGACTCGGGGAGGGCATTCAGGGCTTCCTTCAGCCTGAAGACCTCCTTGGAGAGCTCAGTGATCTGCACAGCACAGAGGCATTACGGGGACCCAAGGATCCTTCAGCCCCAACTCCCCTTGGGTCCACCCATGGCTGCGCCCACTGCCACCCTGGGGTGGCCCCCAGGCAGGGGCAGAGCCGGGATTTCCCCATCCCATCCCTTCTTCCCCCCGTTTCAGTCTCAGCTTGGGGAGAAAAAAAGGGGAATTGCTGGGAGAGCAGCAAATCCACATGCAGGGGAGCACGTGTGCGTGTCCATGCTTGCACTTACACGTGCAAGCATGCACGCATGTGCAAGTGCATGCAAATGTGTGCATGTGTGTGCACACGCATGTACATGTATGCACATATACACGTGTGCATGTTTGTGAGCATGCCTCCCCTGTGACCCGGCCAGCTCAGCTCACCTGAGCAGCGCCCGGGGCCACCATTTCCCTGCCCCAGGAGCCCCTC